CTAATAGGCTCCCCTAAATTGATCAATTAGTCACTACGCCACAGAGTAGAGATATGAAGATGAATAACCCAAGTTCCTCCCTGGGACGTCCTGTGTGTAGCATATTTGAGGTCATCCACCTCAACAGCCTCAGTTAACAACACGTGAGAAATCGAGGCTTCAAGCAAGTGGCTATGACTTGCCCAAGGTCATCTGGCTGAAACGTACTAGACTTCTGTTCTCGTGCAATTCCTCCCTAAATTGTGCATTACATCTGCAATGGACTTTTCACCCCTTGAAATTATATCAGGTCATCCGTAATCATAAGACAAGAATTTACTATTCCAGAGTACAAATTAAAGACATGATGATATTGAGTTTCTTTGCCTTGATGTACTGTTATGCCAATGACTTTGTCTATTCAAAAATCAGAGGAGAAATTGTCTCAATTGTCTAAAATTGCAACTATTTTCACACTCATGAGTAATCCCATTATGAAAACATACATGACAAAATTGTTCATTGATAGTTTCAGTGTCAGAGCATATAAAGCTCAAAACCAAATTGCCTAAATATAATTGTCAGAAGAGCTGGAGCAAATCTCCTGGTGTACTGTGTGTAATTCCACTCTAAAAATACAAATAGAGTCTCCCGATTCATTTCGTATAACCTTTGTCACCACAGCTCATTGACAGATGTACAATGTGTTTTGTATCAACTTATTTTGTGTGTTATGCAAGTTGATAGGAATTATGCATTATGCAATTTTACAGAGCAGTTTGTGGTCACCACGTGTTATTAAGAACTGCTGTGTGTACTGAAGGCTCAAACTGCATCTGACGTAGATTATTAAAGCACTGCAGAGGGTGAGAGTGTTGCATGAAATTCATTTATCTGGAAGGATAAAGAACACCTAAAACCGACTTCTTAGCAGCTGATAATGAAAGATAATAGTAATGCTTGCACAGTAGGTTGAGGTCTCCCCTGAGAGAATGTGTACATGTGTCCTCTTGTGTTCACTAAGAGTCAAGGACAGAAATCAGCGAATGGGATGAGAGGGACAGGGGAGGCTCCCTTTAGAACCCCCACCTGTAATGTTCTGATGCTTATTCTCATCTTTTCCATGTCTTGGGGTGCCTGTGTGTGTTCTAAGACTGCATGAGGGAAAGTGGAACTTGGAATGGGATGGGACGGGGCCTCCAATGATGCTAAGCTTCGGCTCTACCTGATCCATTTCCACGATGACGAGAGGGTCCCAGTCGATTGCATGGAGACGGTGAGCAAGGGCTCGAGCAAGTGGCAATGGCTGAAGCATTGAGTGCGATCTCCTTCATCAAACCATGTCCGTCCGTCCGAACGGCCGAGGGCCAGATTTGAGCTCACCAAAGACGTGAACGTGTCAGGGTGAGGAACCTCACGCCAGTACCTCGTTTAAAACAGAATCTGAGACTTCCTCCCTTGTGAGCATTCACTGCAGAGGGATATGCTACCCTTTCCATATTTAACACATGCACACGCAGAACTGCTAAGCCGTAAAGCGAGCTCAAAGACGCTCCGTGCAAGGACAACAAAAACCAGACCTTTCAAAATGATAACCAGGATTTTATAACTCATAACACCATGCATGTTATATTAAAAGTGGAAGACTTTTTGAACTGCAACCTTTACATCCCTATCCAATAGTTCTTTCAGCTTTGAAATATTCACAATCTGAATTTTATAGGGATTATTTTTTATTATAGGTAAAGCAATTAAATCTCCATATTGAAGGATGAAAACCTTTTAAGGCCCTTCTCAGAATATCAAAAGAAAAGGAGACTTATATTTAACAGGTGTGACAACCCAACTCAGGACATTTCATTGAAAAAGAGCTTGACATTATCCAGTAACAAATACTTACATTAATCCAAAACATCTTTTGGATAAAAGGAATTTTAAAAAGAATTAAGTTGACCACAAAACTTTATAAAAGAAGACCATCTCATGTATGAAATACTTAAAAATACTAATTCTTATGGAATGTGTCAAGCGGTGTTTTAATAAAAGGCTTCCTTTTAAATGACATTTAAACTTAATTAGAATTATAGCATTTGTCCTGCAATACAGAGAGTAAAGCTGTCTCTTTTACTTGCATTCTATGGGCCTCTCAAATTAACTTACTTGATTTAATTTATGGAAATTGCTTTCTTCCTCTTTGACCTTGATGCTGGACCAGACTGAAGGGAATGCCGTGGTAGTAGGCAGGGATTAGATTAGACAACAGAAAGAACTTCCTACCTATAACCATAAGACACAGTCAGTTGGAGGAGGTGATGTAATAAGACCTATGCAAAAGTCTGGTATTTTGGGTTCCAAGATTCTTCAAAGTTAATGACCCAGGTTTTATGAATGGTCTCAGAATATGTTGCTTGTCTTTTAAGAAATTCTCTCTTTCTCTCTCTATCTCTCCATCTCTCTCTGGTATCTTTTGGACGGAGGAGAAGTCACAAATGACAGTGTTTCAGATATTGTTGGTTTTTCTGAACTCATTATTTCTCTTCTTAACAGTAGTAACTTGAGTTATTGAAATCATGTTCTTTCTGCTATTAAACTGTACTCCTTTATTCTTAACACATGTTCTTTTTTCAATTAGCATAGAAAATATTATTCTCAGCACTGTTTTGTCTTACAATATTCAGTGCTAGTGATGATGATTGAGAAACCGTGAGAGGGTAAAGTAGTGATAACAAGCAGAGTCATTGCTCGGGGGCTACTGAACTCATTGGACAGGTTCAGTATCTGTTGACTTTAAAACGCTCCCTTAAATGTTAAGGCTCCCTATGGTGAGTTTTGAAAATTAGTGGCTAAGGGGAAGACTTCCAAACACAGTGAAATAACTCCTATCTTGAATATCTGGAGAATAATTAGAGAGAAAAGGAACCAAAACATGCACTTGATAGTTAAGGTCAGAGACAGGTTGAATATGTCTTAAGACCATGTCAACTACAGTATTGTGACTTTCGTGGTACTAGTGAGCACATTCAATACTAAAGGAAATGGAATCAGTTTTGCAAATGACGATTTGACACAGATTGTGTAGTCGGCAAGACCCTATTACTAAATAAGTACTTACCTTTTAATATGCATTCTACTCTGTAAACTCAGAACGGATGCATGCTTGTCAGAAACTTAATGTTTTCAATATTTGTTTTTATTGTTATCTTCTCTTGGCCACCTATGGAGAGGTGGGCTTGTATCAGAACTACCACGGTGTTCAAGAAATTTTTCAGGAATGCATTTGTAGTTTCCTGAAGGCTATCCATCTTCTTGGACATTGGCTAGTGAATGAGCCAATTTTGGCATCTCTAGGGTTAAAGATGCTCAGAACCTATAGGTACTGGAAAAGGGTTTCTAAACCCAGCTGCTTAGACCCATTTTATTTTTTCTCCAGCAAACAGGAAATGGAGCCCTGAAGGCTTTTTTTTTTTAACTGGAAAGTGTGTGGGGAGGGGGTACACTCACCCTACCCACATACAACCCCGAGCCTGACCCAGACTTGGGGGTCTCTGTGTGTTTTTTCTTCCCTGTCTTTTTTTCTATTATTTTGGCAGACTTTTTGGAATGTCTGGGAGCTAAGGGCTTTGCTTCATGGAGCAGAATTCTGAAGCAAGAAAAAGCGAAAGTTATAGACTAAACCACAGAAATGTAAACACGTCTGCAGCTAAAATAACTCCACTTTCATTGAAAACACTCCTCCTTCACAATCAGACTTCTGTGTGCTATGGTCAATAAAACTGCATGTTAATAGCGACCAATTAATAGATTATGTTGCTCGGCCTTAAAAGTTGAGGGAGTTTTAATTATTATTTTTCAAATTAAAGGAGTGCTTATTCCCTCCCTTCCTTGGGGTGGCGGGGGGGGGGCTTAGCTTTCTTTCTGGCTGTTTGCTGAAATTCTTGGCTGTTAAAGTTTGGAGAGGGAGGGACATGGGTAGTTTTCACTTGGTCGCAATGGGGAGAGTGTGCGAGAGAACGCTCTGGGAAGGGTTCCTAGGGATCGCTTCAGGACTGTCGTGACGCCCGCGGGACATGAGTGAAGAGAAGCAGCGCTCAGGTAAGCACGGTTTTGACATCAGAATTCACTTATAAACGAAAACATCCGGAGGGGGCTCAGCACCGTGTCCCGGAGGCGGATGAGCGGAGCCTCTGCGCTGCACCGTTCGGAGGCTGTTTCTCGCGGCGCGGTGTCCTCCCGGGGCGCTGGGCTGTCACCGCGTCCTGACCGGCCGGCCGGGGCGCTCCCGGGCATCCTGGCGACGCACGGGCTCCTCACAGGTGCTCGCGCAGGTAGCTACTCAACGTCCTCGAGCACCCGCGCGTCCTCGTTAGCCTAAGAACGACGTGGTCCCAATTCTGCTTGGCATCAAAGGCAGTCCGTGGTCATTTTAAACTTCGAGGGCGGCAACCACTTTTAACTTTTATTATTTTTAGCGTTTGTAACGGTTTTCACTGAGGCTGGAAAGAAATGTTATTTCTCACTAAAAGCGACCCCGAGTTTCGAGGTGAACACCTCCGAGGCTCCCTCCTCCCTTCCCCGTCTTTTCTTGTTCCTCGCCCCTCCCGGAGTCGCGTCCTGGGTTTCTTTCTTACTGGGGCCCGGGCTCCGTCCTCCGTGGTTCCAGGCTCTGCTCCTCCTCCTCCTCTGCCTCCTCCTCTTCCTCCCCGGAGCCGCCAGCTGCGTCCCAAACCCGAGCGGGGCGCGCAGCGTCCAAACCTGCCGGCGCCGCCCGCGCTCCCGGGCCCGAGGGCGCGCGCACGGACACGCGCGCACACGAACCCCCGCGCGCACAGCCACTGCCCCGCGCACACCTGGGTCCCCGCGCCTCAGCCACGCGCACCTGGACGCGCGCGTGCACCCCTCCCGCCGCGCCCCCGCCCTGCCCCCGCGCGCGCTCCGGCTCGCGAGTGGCGCGTCGGGGCGGCCGCCCTGCTCGGCGATTGGCGGGAGCCGGAGCCTCCCCGTGGCCGGCGCCCACGCCATGGGCTGAGCCCGTCGCGCCGAGGGAGTCAGTGAGACCCGGCTCGGCGCGCACGGCCAAGGCCCGCGCGCGGGCACACGCGGGCGCGGACACGCGCGGACACACACGTGCGGGACACGCCCTCCCCCGACGGCGGAGCGTGCAGCTGGGTAAGTCCTGCGCCCCGCGCGCCCTGCCCGGGTCCCGCGCTGGTGGCGGCGGCGGGGACGGTGGCGGCGGGGTGGCCCGCGGGGGGCGCTCCGCCTGGCTGTTCCGACGGCGCCAGGACAGGTGGGGCGTGTGGCGACAGGAGGGGCCGCTCGCCAGTGCTGGGTCCCCGGGAGGCGCGCGGTGGGGTGCGGATGGAGAGGAGCCGGCACCCCGAAGTTGGCAAGGGCCAGGAGAGCAAACCTCATCGGGGCACGAGCAAGGGGTTGTTTGACCTCGTCTGGAATAAAAATAAGGCTTGAATTAAAGCCTACGCTCGGCTAAGAGTAGAGACCAGGTGTGGGGCTTGGATGTCACCACCCTCTGGGTCCTTCCGTGCGTGGAATGAGCCTCCGACGACGGCGCCCTGCCGCACGCTCCTAAACACGGGCTCCGGGGACCGCTCAACGCCAGTGGTGGTCTCTTTCCTCTGTCCCCCTCTGTCCCTCTCTGTCCCCCTCTGTCGCTGTCTTTTCACCTTTCCACCCCTCAGCCTGCAGCTGTTAGGTTTATGCTTCCAGCGTACCACCGTAATTGGGAAACTCGGCATGTTAAAAACATAGCCTGTGTTTTTATCAGCTAGCCCTCTTGGTTTCTGTCTGAAATCCATGCATTTATCGCTGTTATATATTGCATAGATGTTTTACAAAAGGCATTACAGAGAGGCAGTGATTAATTTTTAAGACTTAAATGCTATTGTTAATAGCAGACTGAACTGCCCAGTAAAATGGATAAACAATTTCCATGCAAATGCGAACTTAAATATAACTCTTCGTTGATCTAAAGATAATTTCGTTTATCCTTCAAAAGAACAAAAATCATATGTGCCGCAGATTTTACACTGTACATGTTTCTATAGCTTCTGTAGTTCAGAAAAGTTTCAACGTGAATAAAAATACATTTTATTCTTCCCTGGGTGATATACATGGGGCATAGAGTTTATTTACCATTGGGACTAGTTTTGAGTATCTTTCATGCTCTCCCGGGAGTTTGGAGCCCCGGAAGGGAGAGCTGTCACATTCCTAGGGTTAACCCTTGCTCTGCTGGTTTCAGCTTGTTCAGGCGCCTGGGCCAGGCCAGAGCTCTTAGCGTTAAGCTATAGAGGATCAGGCAACAGAAGTCGTATAAAAACCCAACCAGATAAATTAATTCATTGTGTGTCGAATTATCGATGAGCTAATCACACCACTGAAATTACAATTCTAGCAGAAACAAGGTGAGCTATGCAAATTAATGGCTAATATGTAAAGTTTTATAATGCTCAAGAAATGCTTTAGGGGTGCTACACACATCACAAATGCCATTTATAGTTTGGTAATCCTGGCTTTGGTTTGTGTCAATGACTTTTAGAGATTTCACCAAACTAGCAAATGGGTGATCTATCTTTTGAGATATTTGTTAAAGAATATATAATTCCAATGGTACTTAAAATTTTAGTTTCTTCTCTTCTGTGACACTTTAAAATTACTTTATTTTATTTTTAAAAATTCAGGGTAGAGTTGCGATACATTATTTCACACTCAGCTGTTATTTCATAAGGGGTTATTGGTTATTTAATTTGAATTCTTTAGCTAAAATTTTGAAAATTAGCATGTATTATTGGCTGGCTAGTATAATGGGGCTGCACGCACACCTGTGTATAAACACCCCCTCTAATTTTCATGTTTTGTTTTGATATTAAAGAAAAATCTTGTTGAATTTTTAATCTTACAAAATAAGATATTTTATTTGTGGTAAGGACTAAGATCCCAGTGGAATGCCAGACATGTAAGTAGGAAGTAAAACATCTCAGAAAGATGTCAAAAATGATTTTAACTTACATACAATTCTAAAATCTTATATATTATGTATATATTGAACATAGTTCATACTGTAAGTAGATAACAGAAAACTTTAAATACTTTTTTCTAAAATTAATATTAGCTCTGATTTTTTTTCTTGTTATCTTTACATATAAAAAAAATAAACAAAAGGGGGGATTTATTTCTTCGCCAAACAGAGGAGCTAATGTTTTTAAAATTTTTTCCTATTCCCCAGTGAAAAACGATAGCAGGTCAGCGTCAGTCACACGATCTGCAAGAGTGGGGAGACATTGTCACATTGAATAAACGTCAGTGTTGCCTGTTATTTCATAGAACTCCATCCCGGAGGTGTTGACACAGAGACACCTACGTGTTTCTAATGAGACTCGCGGAGGCTGGGAAGCACAATTTGGTTAAGGTAACTAAAATAAGAATTAAGTCATGAGCAAAATTCCAGCTCTGTGATGCTGAGAGCCATTTCTCAGTTTGAGTTAACAACTGGTCTCTCCAAACGCAGGTCTCTCTTTGTCACCTCCTGGCTTCATCAACTCTTGCTTCCCAGGCAGGGTTTTCCAGTGAGGAAGAGAATGCCAAAAGGTTCTTTTTTCTTTCCCAATGTGGAAGGATACGTGGGCTTTCCCGGGGAGTATAGTCCTTCACAATACAGCTTTTGTTTATGTTCTGCACCTTGAATTTGAAACTATTCAAAACTTAGGAGCAACACTTGCAAGAAAAATAAGCTGACATGATAGAGGCATTCAAATATTTTGGGCACAATTACAGATAATTATGATACTTGGTGGCAGCAGTGCGAATTGAAACTTTCTGGAGACTTTAACAGTCCTACGTAGAGTTGCCCAGCCGCCCCCCTGCCTTGATGTCCTTGTGTGAAGCACTGTCCTTGGTGTTGGGAGCATCCTTATTAGAGGTCGGGTAATTAGCTGTACGTGATGCATTGTCAGTGTGCAACTTCTCACATTTTTGATTCAAGGCAGTTATTCTGTAAATAAACAACAGCGAGAGCTTCCAATGGCTGGACAATTGTCCGAACCAGTTTTTCCAAAATAGCCAGGGGGAGATTTTCCTCTTTTAACTTTACCTTTTATTTCAAACATTTTAGTATTGAAAAGAGAGAGCGGATTCAATGCCTGGTGTTTGTAACATTGCAAATCCAGTGAAGGTGGTGAAGAAGGGTGAGCTAAAATTACTTTGCTAAATTTAAGTGTAAGTAAAATGTAGACGACACCAAGAAATTAAAGGGTGTGTCTAAAAATGGAGCTCTGGGTCTAAGTTTTAGATTTAAACTAACTTTTAAGTTCTTCTATTTTTATAGTGGCATGTCATAATCTGGGAGACTCTGATTGTGTATGAGAAACAGTCATTTAACAGTGAAAGTAAGGGGTTTAGTTACCTTGACTCAATGTGTATTCAGAAGGAAGTTTGGTTATGTGACTGTCCTGTTCAAAAAGGCTATGTGTGAAAATGGAAATATCCCTCAAATGTGTAAAATAGGCCATTTGAAGTAATTGACCACTTTTTAAAATTAGGATTCTAGAGAAATAGACATCAGATCTGATCCGGGACAAACCCTCAGTATGTCTAAAGGTTTTAAAGATCTGACGTGCATGCTTTTCTGCATGCCAGACAGGGAGGTTTGTGTGACCACCCCGAGGAAACGTTAGACTGCGCAGAGTCATGCGCTGCATCCTGGAAATGATCAGCTGGCGCCGTGCATCTTTCCATCTGCGCTAAGGTGCACGTCAGCTTCCGAACTCTCCTGGACAACACGAGCAACCCGGGTCCGTTCGCTGCCTCTCGCCTTGCCGTAATACATTGACTGGAACTGGCAATAAGAAAGTGCTGTTCTTTCTTGGTTTGAAGATGTCGGTTCCTGAAATTCAGGCAGCCCTTGATGAGTTGATGGCCCAGTGACATGGGACAGCTCTGCTGTGTCCCTCACAGGTCCTGCCACTGGAGCTTTGCATCTGTAGGGGCTGCTGCTAGCGTCAGAGCCTGAGGCTTTGTGGCCCATCTCTGCGCTCTCAGGACCTTCCGTCTGGCTGGAAGCAGAAACCCCTTTGGACTCCCCCCTCTTTCACCCACAGGCCTGCCCTTGCCTGCTGCTGGGGCCTCTTCAGGGACAGCAGTTCCCCATCACGTGTGGGCTGGGTGGGAGGGGTGGAGAGCAGGGGACGGAGGGAGGCCTGGGATCTTGAGACCTTAAGACTGTTTAATGGAAACCTCATTCTCCAAGGCAGGCAGATCCTGCCGTACGACCTGGGGTTCGTCCCCAGGTCACCTTGTTCATTAAATAATTTGGGTGGGCAGGGCTGGGTACCAGCCTTTACTTAGAGCTGTGTTTCTGTTGAGTAGTGGGGCCCAAGCTCTTATTAACTAATTTCAGAACTGGGCGTTGAGAGATAGTCTGTTGGTAATGTTGTTGACCCTCAGATAACAACACTTCTTAAAATGATGACCGCTTAACTGCTTCATTGTTATAGTGATGGTGCTCCTTGGCATTTAAAAAATCAGTACCCAAGCTTACAGAATCCCAAAGGGAATTTTGCCTGATTAAATGGTTTTTGTTAGTTGTTCATAGGCAGGTGTGACTCCTTGCACACAATTAATTTGTACGGAAACGAGTATGTGCCAGACGCACGGCTGAAGGCTGAGAAGGGAGGCTGGCAGGTTACTTTCCTGGCAATCAAGCTGATTATAAAGGGACAGCGTACGGAGGAAATGCTGGAAGCTAGTGCAATGCTGCTCTCTTAAAATGAGGCCGGGTTGGGGGATTGGGAAGTCTACGCACAGGCAAAGAAGGAATTTCAGGACATGGGATCCTCCCCAAACCCACCTCTGTGTGCTACTGTTGTTGGAATTCTGCTGGATGCTGCAGCGAGTGAGGGTCTCAGGGGTCAGAGAAACTACTGAAAGGAGCTATTATGAGGGCCCTTTGTGAGAAGGAGGGACGACCACGGCACCACTTAGGAAGGGAAAACTTTGAACCCCAGGACTGGAGGAGGTGCATTTTAGAATTTTTGTAAGGGACATGCATAGATCTAAGCTCAGTATAAATAATAAATGAAGTATGTGCTAGTAAAATGAAATGTTTTGAAACAGAAACCACTCACATTTACAATCTCAACATAAAACTTTTTAATTAAATGTATCAGAAAGCTGAGATTTCTTTTATTAGGAAATGAGGTAAAAACATTTTGAAAAGAAACCGACTGCCAATTGAGGAACGTTCTAAGAAGATTTCATGCGTTGAATGGATTCCCATTAAAATTATATCCAACCTCACAAAGCTGATGTGAGCCTGCTGCCAGATTTACAAATCTGGGTCTATAATTGCACAAGGTTGAAACTCGCCTTGTGCAAGGTTTGCTCTTTTGCTGTGCAGGAGACGGCAGCAAGAGGACAGAATAAGCAGAAGTGGAGGAAAAATTTGCTTCTTCAGTACTGAAAAGTACTTTCTAGTCTATTTGACCCTGGCAATAAAATTAACTTCACTACAGAGTTTTTAAATAGGAGTAATGACAATAAAGATCAAATCTAGGGAGTATTTTGAGTCTGTTCCGGAGAACGGATGTTAGATCAGCATATTATTGGTATTTACCCCAAATTCTGAAACCCCACCTACAACCCCTGCCATTAAAACAAAGGAGGATATCGATTGCTGCTTGAGGTATCAAAGCATAAGGATTTTATAGCTGAAATAATATCAATTCTGAAGATACAATTATATCACTTGATGAAATTGAATTTATTTGTGCAGTTTTCTAAGACTTGTAAATATAGGTGATTAAACAGAATGTCGCACAAGAGCAATTTCTTCTAAGTACCCCGTAACCAAATTGCAAAATCAAAGATCAGTGAAGTCATTTCGTAAGTACGTACGTATAACCCCCAGTAAGTGTTGCATCTGTGTGTATATTAAAAGCACATTTGTAACATGCATTTAGCATCAATATATTATAAATTTTTTCCTTGCAAAAATTAAACACTGACTCATGTTAAATTTTCTTTATCAATTTTAAGCAACCTGGAAATATATTTCTCAATTAAAATTTATTCAGCACCTATTAACTGAGAGCACTCTGCTAAATGAGAGATGGAAACATGAGTTGTATAGGAACCAGTAAGGCACTGGATGTATCTAGAGATGAGAAAAACAGCTGCACATTTAACAGGAGAAGCCAGACATTACAGCATAGAGTCCTAGCCACCTGTCTGACTCCAGCAGTTAGTGGTACGCCTGAATTTTTCTCTTTTCCACTAGTCGTATTGACAACATGTAAACAAAACTACATCCTTTTCATTTCACATAGCTAAGTTTGCTTGAAGAGAGTTCACTCACGCAAGGATACTCTGAGTGCAGTGTCCTCGGCATGAATATCTACAGGTGGGAATTAATGCAGGACAAATGGAATGCCCGAGAATTCAGGCGTTCTGCTGAGTAAGCAGAGGCAGGTGGGCAGTCGGATTTGACTCACGCTGTGAAGGTTCGGGACTCGGTGGCAGAGCGGGTGCTCCGGATGGCAGGAAAGGCAAGTGCAGGGAAGAGGGGCTAGAAAGTGCAAGGTGTATTGGGGAGCGGACTCCGTCCGAGGCACTCTGGGGAGGCCCTGGGCAGTGCCTTCAGGGGGTGAAATCTAGCAAGAGGATGATGCTTATGCCACGCAATCCGGAAAGGGGTGAGTGCACACACCAGTAGGAGTGACACCCTCAGCAGTGCCACCTGCTTGAACCAGGCCAACATGGCAGTGAGCGGGGCTCTGGACTGTACGGTGACAGAGGGGATGGCACCTAGAGGGCTTCTGTGTCTTGTGCTTGGATGTGGTCTGTTGAGTACATGACAGACAGCCCATGTGATGCGTTTGCTGTAGGGCCTCTGTTGGGCAAGGTTGAATTGCAAGAAAGAATCCGTAAGATGCAAGCCCTTCTTTCTTATGGATTCATGGAGGGACTTCATTTTGAGCCTTGGCGTCAAGGGGAATTGAGTGTTTGGCTGCATGTCATCACATGGAGGCCTGGGTGTGACCGGCTCTAGCAAGGGCGTAAGCCCCCGAAGCCTGCCTGGCCGGCCGCTGCGCCGTTAGCTGCAGTTTATGTTCTCACCCTCTTGACCTTCATCTGTTTTATTTATTTTGAATCTACCTCTGAATTTTAAACAACCTTGTTATATGGCATATGTCCTTGTAGACCACTTTAAATCCTTTTTGGGAACAAGGTAGAGTGTAAGTAAAATAGAATCGTACAATGGAAAAGTGATCGAAGCCATGCCACAGGAAGTTCAGAAAATGCTTCCCAAAGGCCGAGGCGTTTGAGCCATGCCATGATGAGCGTTGGATCTGGACAGGTGGGGAAAGTGGAGGCAGCAGCGAGGTTGGGGGTGTGGAGAGTCAGGCACTGCTGGTGGTCGGAGTGTGGGAGTGTTGCCTGGGAGCTGGGTCACACAGCTGGGACCTGCCCCAGCCGTCTGGGTCTTTAGAGGGATCAGGCTAGACACCTATTTCAGCAGCGCAAGTGTGAAGTTAAAAGGTAGGGAAGAAAGCAATCTTGCAGAAGGGAAGGGAGAAGTATGATGTTGTTGAAGGTGGCAGGTGACATTCACGTCACCAGATGGTCCAGCCACAGGAGACGTGTTGCCGGGATCATCCTTGCCATGGCTCTGCAGGAGGTGCTCTGGTTGCACCCATTTTCCAGGATAGCAAAGTGAGGCTCGGGACTGCTAAGTCACTTGCCTGGAGTTGCACAGTAGTAAAAGCCAGAACTGGAACCAGGCGGTCTGACTCTGGGATCCATCTGTGGGACTCTGCTCTACAGAGTTACTTTGGTCAGAGCAGAGGGTCCATTATGGAAGTGACAAGAAGGGGGTGGGTGGCGTGGAGGCAGAGAGTCCTAGCAGCACTGGGAAACGAAATAGAATGTGAGTCTCGTGTGTGGTTTTAAATTTTCTGGTAGCCACATTAAAAAACAAACAGGTGAAAGTAATTTTAATAATAAATTTACATAACACAGTATGTCCAAAATATTATTTCAAATGTAATCAATCTTCAAAGTGCACGCGTGTAGTTTGCACTTACAGCACGTCCGGACTAACCACGTTTCCCGTGGTCGGGAGCTGCGTGTGGCCAGTGGCTACCATATTGGACAGTGCAGGTCTAAAATGTCCAGCTTAGGGGTTCAGATTTAATATAATGAGCAACCACGAAGTCGATTATAACTTGGTCACAGGAGTAGAATTTTTGTGACCTTATGTCTACATTGGCAAAATCACCCCCAATATCATCATGGAACCAGATAGGATAGCAACAGAAAATTGAATGCTAGCATGACATGTTCAGTACTAAATTTGCAGCTTTTAAATTGGAGGGAAAATATATGTATCATTTCCTGTTGAGTCACTTTATGTTTTTAAAGGGCAAAATAAAATACCTATTTTCAGACCAAAACTTTATATGCTTGGTAACAAACAGTGCTGCTTTTGTTGGACTCATATGCTGTGACAACTTCAAGTATAAAAATGTTATTTGAGTATCCTCTATTTAAAGATAATCCTAGCATGATGACAAATTTCTTGTTTTGCATGTTTCCTGAGAATAATACAATTTATCATTTTGAAGAACAGAGTTCTTAAAGTGCTAGCACCCCAGAGAAAGAAAGACTGTCAATGAAATGTATTGCTATAGAATTAACTTTTAAGAGACATAGTCCCATGAATTGATAATGACAGATGGCACATAACATGGGCCGTTCCATTTTATATAATTCTGAAGCTCAGGGCAGAGTCGTATGAAGTCAATCCACATCGCTTATATGCCTTTTGTTATGATCAGTGTACTACGTGTGATATGTTGTTGAATAACCTACCGTTTTAGCTATGCTTGTTTTAGAGTTGATTTAAGTTAATATTTATACAAAGTAAAAAAAAAAACTTCACTAGCAGATTCTTACTCAATCCCATTTTCCTGAATAAGACATTTGTTTTTAGCTCTGGTACCTGGTCTCTAGCAAACTCCTTGTCCGTGCTTCATCGTAGATAAGCTTGTTTCCATTATCACCAGTGCATGGTAAGGGGATTGCACTCTCCTTATTCTGGTTTAATTTTTCCCGGTGGGCAGTGCCTACTGTAAAAATAAAGCAAGCCAAAAACTGCTAAATAAAACATAGGTAGCTTCTCGCAACTCTAATCACTGTATCACACTTTATACCAAATTCAGCACAATGATTGGTAACCAAACATTAAAGCTGAAGAAATATTATAGTTTATTAAAATTTAAAAGAGGGAATTAAAAAAACTCAAACCAAGGAACGTGGCTGTGTTCTCACATCTGCCATTGTCCACCTCTGGTTGGTTGGGATACTTTATTGTAGGGTCATCTAAGGACAAACAAAAAAGCAAGACTGTATTTTGCATACAGCGGTCTTCGCTGCCTTCAAACGCAGGATTTTGTTGTCTAATCTTGTTTCGTCTAACATGGGCCACCAGGTGTGAGCCCTTCAGAGGTAACTGGAATTCTATCCCCGGGACTCCTGCACGTCCACTGGGTGCCGCGAGCTGCCTCCGACCGTCCCCGTTTCCCATGGGAGTACAAGTTTAATTTGAAGTCCAAATTATATTTGAGAAGTCTGAAGCACATTAAGACTTCTTAAATAATTCACTTGGGGTTACGTTCAGTGAACATGTGTAAATATGAGAATGTGCGAGGCAAGTGGTCTAAACACAGAGTGAATACGAGACTGCGTTGATGCAAGCCACATGTGTGCAAAATCTCTTTGGAAAAAGCGTGTCATCACTGGTAACCAGAACCTTAGACTGGACCGGCTATGTGGCTTGTAGGGCAGGGTTAAAGTCCAGTTGCTTCTGTGCTTGGGGCTTTACAGTTTGCAACAAACTGCTCGATGCGGGGTGGTGGGCTTGTGGTTGCAGCTCTCAGCTGCATAGCAAGGAAGGAGCCAGTGACCCACTGAGACACCTACCCCAGGGCCCAGCGAATTCCCTGCCAATTTCTCAGGTCGGGTATTTGCGGGTGTGAAATGGTTGAAATGGTGCTCTTGGAAACTCCCGTATTTAAACTTGGATTAATAATGACAACTGTAGAGTTTATTTTTTTTTCCTTTGGGCTAAACAATTTTCATATGCGATGGGGTTGTGTGGGTGGATTCAGCGACATTACAAGTGACACCCAGTGGAGTCAGCTCATAAAGTCATCTAAGCGTTGCTAAGCATTTCCCTCTTCCTCACGATCCCTAAATTTACAGACCTCCCTCTCTACGGCAGCATTGCTGTCCCTTCTGCGCTGGGCACCCTTCCTTAACAGTTCGGACTCACACCATTTTGGAGTGTCAGTGTTAGCTAAGTTTCACCTGCAGTCAACACACACGGGGACTAAAAAGAAACAAGCCGGCAACTCTAATGAAACCAGGCTGCAGGTCTGAAGCGCTTTTGGAAGATCCTGCCCCTGCTTTCTGTCCTGTGTCTGGTTTTCATGGAAATTTGTGTCTGGGAGTGAGGGGGAATCAGAGTGGGTTTGCTGGAGGCAGGTGCCTGTGTTCTTTGGCTCTTGTCATTAGGAGTCAGGACCAGGGAGCCTCGGAGGAGGTGAGGCAGGCAGAGGCCATAGCAGATATGTGGGCACCGTGCAGTCTTTGTAAGACAGGGGAGATTTTCACAGGCTTCCTGATTGTCGAAAATTATTTATAAGTCTGCCATAGTCTGGGAATTTGGGGACAGAAAACATACTTCACTTACTGTCCGTGCTCCATAAATTACCCTTTGAGTTCGTGGCAAAGTTATTTCTGTCTTCTGTGATGCTGGTGTATGTCATCCCTGAGACTGTGAGTAAAATGACTGCGTTTCTTTGCAGTAAATGCTGCATGACTTCCAGCAAGGACCTGTTCAGCGAGGTC